TATATATATATATATATATATATATATATATATTATCGACCAAATAAATTTTTTTAATAATATAACTTTTAAAATAATTATTATAAAAATAAATATAAAAAAAATTACCATATATGTTGAATTATGATCGAATGAAAAATTAAAATTACTTTCAAAATATTGCCTCTTATACTGCAATTATATACACACAAACCAAAACGACTAATAAATCATGGTAAGAAAGTGACAAATTTTATTGCAAGGCTGACCTATGTATATATTTGTTTTCTTTCAAACAAATTATCTTGAAAATAAATAATTCTCAAAGTTTTACTGTGTCTGTCTAATAGTGGCTATTGGTCAAGCATTGATCAACAGAATTATCATAAGAAAGTGATAATGTATCAACAAAGTGTGATGTGTATTATTTTGTTTTATAGCCAGATGACTAATGGTCTTGAATAAAAAAATAAAAATCCACATTTTTTATTCATTAGGTTAATAGCTGTCAAGATTGATGTTTCCAAATATAGACGGAATATACCGAATATAAACTGTTATTTTTCTTTGCAAAAACTTCACTATTCCTACTATAAAAGAAAACCTTCACTATTCAATAAGTGTATGAGAACCGGTTTCTTGTTTTTAATTAATGAGCAAAATGTGATTATGAGACTTCGTTTCAATAAGATATTGAACGTGTAATCAAGAAGCTCTTTATGATCAGCCAGATATGGAGGATTTGAATAATTTGTAAAAATCTTACATTTATACCTTATTATTATTGTTATACCTAAAAAGAAAAAGAAAAAAGTGTAAACAAGAACTTTTATTGGTAAGGATCGTGGGTCTAATCTCTTTTTTAAAATATTAAGATAATTTTATTCTTATTTTTATATACCACCTTATCACATCATTCATCAATATAACATCACGTCTATTATGTATCACATTATATATTATACTTATTATTTTTATGAAAATTTTGATCAAAATTACAATTACATTATTTTTATTATTTGCCATATCATTTGTTATGTTGTATAGTGTTACACTAACAAGTTACATATTTAATGATACTTAAAGAATTAAAATTGTTTCATTAAAATTTTAAAAATAAAGATCACAATTAAGATAAAATTACTCAAATAAATGCTAATTCTCTCATTTGGGTGTAATATATTTAAAATTTCGATGAACATTACTCTCGTATTGCTTTTTTTAATGGGATAATATTTATTGAGTTAATTATTCATACACTGTTAGTATAAAGTTTTTTACACCGACAACTAATCATATCTTTTAAATTATTTTCTCATTAAATAAGCAACTGACATGACACTATTAAAAGATATAATTGATTATCAGTGTAAAAAAAATTTACACTAATAATATATAAGTGATTAATTCATATTTATTTTAGGGGAATAAAATCAAATGATTCAATATGTTGCATTTTGTAGCCAATGAATTGGGGCGTATAAATGTCTAAATAAAATTTTAATCATATAAATTATATTTTAAGGTTATCGAAAATAATTTAAACATTGTAAACAAACCGAGCTTACGTTGAATAAAAAAAATATTTAATTTATGAAAGGCAATTTGATTAGTTGCATGATACCTTTGGCCGGCAGAAACACAAGTCCATGCCCGGCACTGAAATCCGAGTTGGGGTTGTAGCGTAGCAGGAGCTCCGCCGGCACACCGGATTCTGCCGCCAGCCCTTGCAAGTCGTCACCGAGGCGAAGCGGGTACGTGATGAAAAGGCCATAATCCTTGGACACGTGTGGGTTTCCGCAGGAGCAGTTAACGGTGACATTGATGTTGACGCTTGCGGGTATATCATTGGGTGGGTAGTTGTTGACCCTGCTCACCCAATCCTGGCTCGTGAGGTTCGAGAAATCATCCTTGGCAATTATCTTGTATGTGTCGCCATGTTGGGTTGCGTACGAGAAAGTGTGCCCCAAAAATTCACCGTTCAAGCAATCACACGAAAACGGCACTTTTATCCGCGTTTCGCTGCTAATCTGGTCAGGGTTTGTCACGTTTGGGTTGTACTTCATAATCTCCGATGTGGGCCTTCCGAAGAGGTTGCTAATGTAAGTCAGGTCTATGCCTTCTCGTATGTAATAGGAAGCTAGAGCAAGGCTGCAGCCACTGAAGCATCTACCTTCCACTCTTGTAATAATAATAATCATTAACTCAAACATAACAAAAACATGGGCTGTGCTCATTTTTGTGTATAAGCTACGGGATAGAGGAATTAGGAGAGGTTTATGTTTTTCTTATTCACTATAGCTCGTTAATTTGTACAAGCAGAGAGAGGTTTAAGAGTTTCCTTTATTTTATGTGCTACTTAATTAATTTGTATTATGTCACGTACTAATATAATTGATGTCAAAGATGTCATCCATCTTGGTTTAACGGGTCTTCTCTCGTTGCTTCTTCTTATTGTTAACGGTGGTTGTGTTTTCTATATATTTTTATGGAATCGTTGCTATGCTTAATTTAAAATTTGGAGTTTACGTAAAGAATGTGACTTCCAATTAGGGTTCAGATGAAAAGGGCGATGGAGAGGGACTCCAAATGGCATCTTGGATTTTTTAAGGTTTATAAAGGTTATAATGTGAATTAAAAATTAATGGATGGTTATGCCACTTTTTCTAATGAAATGGTACAAGCTTTTCATTTTATACTGAAGAAAATATTTGTTTGTATAATATTTGCTAAGCAGAAACTATAAATGAAGTATAACTAACACATGCAATTGTGCAGAACAATTTTTTTTTTTTTTTTTTATAGTAAATTTGTTTTACAGTGAGGACAATAACAAAGTGAAAGAGTATTGAGTAGTAATATGGTTAAAAATAATATTGTATATAAATAGGAAATAACTTTTACTTTATTAACTAATGAATTAGGTTGAGAAAGACTTTTCAATATAAATTCTATAAGCATCTTTTAATAGGGGTTGCTTAGCTATATTAGTATGGTTTGTTTAACAATAAAAAATTATTATGGTGTATTACATGTGATTGATTTGCTTAAAATCAGAGAAAATTACTTATATTATAAGTAAATATTCTTTTTGAGTACGGTGAGATATTTGAGATGATAGTGGAAGAATATATTAAAAATCTTTTCAAATGTACTTTGACTAAGAAAAGAGGGATATTTTCAAGAAATTGATTATAAAACTTGTTTAGATAGGAAAATTAGGAATAATAATGATTGACTCTTACATATTCAGAACTTTTAATGATGGGAAAAAAAAAATACATTCCACGTGTGTACTTTGCGAGAACGTGCGATTTTGGAAGAACTACGAGGTTCACACTTTAATTTCCACGTAACGTAAGCTCAGAGATATTTGTTTACGTGGATTGAAAGCATGTAGATATTTTGGGTTTGGAGAGACTTATAACCCCACCATTATTTGTCCTCACAAAAACAAAGGTCTTTCTTCAACTCACTTCTACTACACAATATGGAATCCTCTGCAATACTACCACTTTCTCAGCTTCCTTATGTGTACCCTGCAACACCTAACACCAACAAAGCTTATCCTTTTTGGCCTTGCAAGCGAAGGACCTCACAACCAACACGCTTACACTGCAGCAAGATGTTTGTACCTGGTATTGTAATTGCATGCTTATTACTTTCTCTATGTTAATAATGCTCTATACCAAATTATATGTACTATGTTATGTTATATTTGGGATGAAGGATTCGGAGAAGCATCACCGGAAGCAAAGGCTGCTAAAAACCTCCACAATTTCTTCACCTACGTAGCAGTCAAGATTGTTGCTGCTCAACTTGAGGTTCCTTCAATCCTCCTCTTGTTTTTTCCACTCGACTTAATTATTGGCTTAATTTGTTTGTATTTGTTTATGTTTGTGTTGATTCTTAATCTAATTAATTACTCCATGGACTGCTTTTTTAAAAATTAATGTTTAATCGTACACTAATTCAATTTTTCTCCATATATAGAAATTAGACACCACAAATTCGCAATATATACTTGCTTCTTTAACTAATAGACTTCAACTACATTTTCCCTAGAGATAAAAGCTTTAAACCTCCTAGAGGCAACTTTTTTTTTATGTCGGCTCCTATAAGGAGATAAAGGCTCTAAATCTTATTTAGGCTACTATGTTACACAATCACTCAAACCTTCAGCTTCCATCAAGAAAACGGATGGGGCTAATGGATCTTCTAGCTTGAGATCCTAATATATCTATGCCTTTTAGTTGAGCTCTTATTAGTGAGAATTAAAAAGTTTCCTAAGAAAGTAAAGGTTTTTGTCTAACATCTTCATTTATTCAGGAACTCAAGGTAATTTCGATTCAGAGTTATAAGCCTTTTTTGAAATTCATCTTAACATAGTATTTGGTCGAGGAAAGGAATTTTATAAACATTCCTTTTCCAATTAAAAAGCTTGGAAAAAAATCCTTTAGAGGAGATAGAAAATGAGGAGAACGAAATCCTTCTCTTTCATTTTTCCCACTCTTCCAATATTTGTGATAATTTTTATAGACAGATTTAAGCCTCCAATATTGTCAATGTGATGAAAAGCTAAATAATAATAATAATTTGTGATTGGATTTAACTTGGTGCACGGTTGTTCAACTTAATTCAGGTTATCGGTACAAAACAATTTTTTTCCCTCTAATTTAGTGTTCTTTTTTTTATTATTTAATACTCTTTCTTCCTCTAACAATATCATCTGTCAAATAACTATTTCCCCGAGCAGAGCTACAATCCTGAAGCATATGAAGAGCTGATGGAATTTCTTAGCAGACACTCGTTGAATGATGGTGACAAGTTCTGTGCCAGTATGTTCAGAGAATCATCAAGACATAAGAATTTAGGTAACGACTTTATCAAGTTACAGAATCCTCAATCAGTTTTTAATATCTAACCAACTTTTTTGGTTGTTCTGGCATGCACATGAATAGCCCTACGCATAATGGAGGTAAGTATATTATTTTCTATTATTTGATTTTCCATCACCTGTTAACCAAGTTCATACTAAGAATGTATTATTATAGGTGCGATCAGCATACTGCAAAAATGATTTTGAATGGGACAACTTGAAGCGCCTAGCTTTGAAGGTTTGTAATTCAATAACATTTTCTTCTATTATTATTATTCAGGATGTTGATCGACTGAAATTTATTCAACATCCTTTATAATTCAATAATGTTTCTTCCCTTATTCTGTTGTAGATGGTCACCGACTCAAACACGAGGCTCATGAAGGATTATGTCTTAGAAACCAGTTCTGCTGAAACCGAGAAGTGAATAGGCTTGCAGCAATGCGTTAGCCCCTTCATTCCCTCTATCGAACAGGAGCTAGGGCAACTTACCTATTTATAAATACTGGAAAGAACTCCATCCACATGGTTCTCGATCAATTTTATATTCCAGTATTGGCAAGGTTGTGATACCAAAAAAAAGTTTTGGATTGTAAAATGGTTAGAGTAAGTCGTGATACAAATTGACAATCAAACAGAATATATTGTTAACCCTCCATGACTTATTGGGATTCTTGGAGGTTGGAGCACCAGGATTGCTGACTCCCTTACAAATAAGAACATTTCAAGCAGATATAAATTATCTTATTGCGAGACAAATAGTGACTGATTTGAGCGTAATCAATTCTCCTTTACATCTGAAAGTGAAAACTGAAAACATTGTCTAACTATGAAACAAGCAATAAGCATTACCTTCAATCCTCAATGTTCAAGGAACGATTTTTGCTGCGATAGTTTACACTTCATGACCTCCAACCAACACAACTAAATTTCACAGGTAGTGGCACCTTCTTCACTAAGATATAGGGTCTGTTGTCAGTATAGTAAATACAAACATTACATCACGTTGTATAGCTTGAGGTTTACAAGCATGAACTATTCATTATAACTTTTCTCCTATCCACCTCTCGTGCAAGAGTAACCCCTCCATCATCTTATGACCAAATAAGGTAGCTCGGGAATTTTAGCAAGGTATCCCCTACCATATTTTGCCAAAGAATTGGATTAGCGACGCAATCAGTTGATTTCCGTTCTCTAGACAGAAATCATCAACAAACTAAGATACAAGCTTCCTGGGTTTTAGGTTTAGATTCATTTGTCCTATTGTTTTGATAAAATCTTCCATTATGCTCCGACCAAGCAGACTTCACAATTACTTGTCGCTCTATAGCTGCAGATGGCAGCAAAGAGGTTGAGACAAAGAAAGGCAAAGGTTAAAGGTAACAAGGGTTGTCCCCTGCCAATAAGCTTCGTTTCGAAACCACATGCATGATATCTTTGAAAATATGCTGAAGTTTATCTTCTATCAAATTTGAGTCGACACTAAGCAGTATCCACTACATCAATACAGCGATGGAGATCACTTGATGCATGAATTTCTCCATTGCTGAAGTATGAATGGGCATATTCCTCTATGTGATCCAGCCTGCAATTAGGAGTCATCAGCAGCATATACTTCAAATTTGATCAACTGAAGTGAAGTGAAATTTAAAATTTGATCAAATCCAGTCATATAGATATTAATAAAACATTGCAACCAAAATGGAATAAGAGGAACTTTTCATCTAAACAATCAAAAAGGCACACAAAGTAAATTAACACAATATATATAACTGTGAATATACTTCAGTAGTTCGGTATGAACATAACATCCAGAGGAAAAATTACCTATACACATAGTTCACCATGATCCCTCCACTTTGAGAAAGACCTTTTTCTGATCGATCTGCCATCCAGTTAATTCTTTCGACCATCTGTTGCATATTGAGAACCAAAAAAATTATTCACACCAAATTACAACTACAGATTATTTGTGGTTAGGGCATAGACTTGCTACAAGGAAGCACCCATTTTTTCATATTAATTATAGAGAAATAAATGCCAAGAAAATAACCCATACAATATCTTCAGTGGAAAAGCCATTCTAGAAGTAAAAGCGTATTCCAGACTACAAAGTATAATGTACTGTAAGGAAACAACTGGTTTCAGGATGAAAATACCATTGGCAATAACAGTGAAGTTTATTTTCTGTAAATTATGGTTGCAAGACATACCGCTCCATTTTGCAAGTGAAAATTTGCTACAGAATCCAAAGCTTTTCCTCTTTTCTTCTCTTGCAGAAGGTACCTGCGATACCAAAAGAATCCCAAAAGTTTTCTGATTACTGTACCATGATTATAAGTGTAGCAAGCTGCCTAACTCAATGCAATTTTTCAGAGAAGTCATTTCCAACATGGCTTTGTTTTATTTATCATAAATTTGTTCCCAATACCTGGCACATAATCGCATCAAAGGGGGTTTTAATGCTGACAGAAGTTCTGGCGAATGGATCCACTTGTAGGATGAAGAAGTAAGCAAGTTGAACATCACATCCATTCCATTTTTTCCCGTGGCAATATCTCTGCGTCTCATATTGATATGAGTCACATGATAGTAACACCAGAGACAAATTAGGGAAGCAAATAAAAATTACTATAAACATTTGTCATCACTGGTAGCCTTGGAAGTTGGCATGTAGGGAAAGAAATTTGAGTGTACTACTGTTAAAATATGATTCTTTATAATGACAATTGTTGATTGAGTTGGAACAGGGCCTTTTCATTATATAAAATCCTCATAATCAAGCTTACAAATCACAAATCAAATAGTGAATCGTAAGCTAATTTTTGAACAATAAATCTTATTGAAAAGTAAAATTGATACACAATAAAAAAATAGCTTGAAACATATCATATAATGCATAGAGCTCAATGTAATAATTTTCAACTAAGAATTAAAAAAAAAAAAAAAAAAAAACATAAGTCCCACAAAACAAATTTATAAATCGTAACTGAATCTTGCCATCAACTTATATATAATCAAATAAATAAATAAAGACTTCTATAACACATAAATAACCAAGTGAAGTCATGTCATAATTCTTGCGTGATTCTATTAAATGGTAGTTCATCTTAAGTACACTACCTCGCATTATGGTAATTAAAGATAATTACGTTTTACATTTAACTTATTGCCAAAAATAATATAATGGTCTCAAATAACATCCTTCTTCCCCCTTTTTTCCTTTGGAAAAACATAAAATGACTGCATTAAGCCTGTGTTTCAGAAGAACAAAAACAGAACAATGATAATAGCCAATAAGGAGCATGTGGTGTGAGCGAGTGATTGAGTGAAGCCTTTTTTCGAAAAACTAAAAACGAAGCAATGAAACAGAAGTGTTGAGTGATTTAGTGACAGTGGATAGGGTACATTAAGTGGGTCTCCTTCAGTTTATTTTCATTGAACAATTTAAGCTAATCTAACTTTTCAATTTCTTTGACAAAAAATTGGAGAAAGAACAGCAAAAAAGCAGAGGAACAAAACTGAATCACTAAATGTTGCAGTTCATATCAATGATATGGAATTGCATTAGTTAATGTACGCATCACATGATTCGAAGTCATTTGTGATTCATCACATGATACAATTGTGAATTGTCAAATCAAAACCATATTTAATCATGCAATCCGAATCTTGAATCGTGCATTTCTAACAACTATGCACAAATTTTCAAGTTTTGTTTCAATACATGGGGAACCAATTGTTCTCACAATTAAAGGAGAAACAAAAGAGAGGACAAAAATATATGTAATGCAGCTATTAAATAGTTTACTCGATAATAATATGAAATTGCAATATAAGTAACTAGTGGTGTTGCCAAAAAAGATCCAAGAAGGCAAGAATATCATAAAACAAAATATGAAGATAGAACAGTATGTAGCTTACTTAGGTAAACTCATAAGTGCTTCTTCTTCCCCAGGTTTAAGTATATTCTCATAGAAAGTGGAGCCGGATCCTTCAGCTTGTGGTTGTGACAAATTGTCTCCTTCAGCAAGCACTGTTTGAGATGCTAGCTTGGATAACAGCCACGACATGAATCCCGGGATGGGACTCAGAGTTGCAAAGGTCTGCAGCCAAAAATTGATCACCAATCTCAGATGTGAGAGGGCACAGGTAAAATTTAATACATAAGATATAGCAGTATCCTAGGAAATATGGAATTTATCAAGAAATTTTCATAATATCTGTGTCCAACAACTATCAGAATTAAGCATATTACTTTTAGTTTATTCTAGAATGATGAAAGATATCAATTCGAGAAGACTAGTATTTTTGGCAAATTGCCATGTGCCTTTACTTCTATAGAACTCTTTTGAGAACAACGACTCCAGAAACCTGGGATTCAAAGAATGAAACCATAAAGTGGTACTAATATACTTGGAAAATCTCCCCATCAAATGTGAAGACCGAAGAGTAAAGGGAAGACAACACATTTTATGGACAATACCATTCATATCAAAACCATGAAAATAAAAGGTATGAAACTGAGTTAAGAAAACAAAAGCAAAAATAACTTAAGATTGAATTATATTAAATAAATATTTTGCATTCACAAATTCCCTGAAGCTCCACATAATTCATAAAATACTTACGGAAATATGTGGCATCTCTCTTTTCACCTGTGTTACAACTCGTTTGATAAGAAATTTTCCTAAGTTGATCCCTGCTAAGCCAGGCTGCAAAATTTTCAGATCAGAAACAATAACACTATCTTCATAATTCTTCATGGAGTCAAGAGGGGGAGAAACTGACCATAGTATATAAACAGAAAGGCAAACAGATCTAAGGTGCTAACATAAATAAAAACTGAGCTGAGAAGAAAAGAGGAAAATTAAGCAAATAGTGGCAATAAATTCCAGTCAGAGAAAAACCCAAGAATAAACTGTTCACTTTTCACTAAGAATGATCATGCTGAATTTCACCATGAAATAATTACATAATTAGCATTTTTTTTATATACAGTCATATCTCCACTAGCTGTAACTTTTCATTACTTTTATGATACAAAGTATACCTGAGTTGATGATATAGAGTAGAACAAGGCGCATGTTGCCTCATTTTCAGATATAGGAGGACTATCCCACAAAACTTCCTGTTAAACAAAGAAATATTGCTTGAAAGAAGTTAATGAAAAAGGGTTTGTTTCAGCTGATTTCCAACAAAATTAACCTGTATAGTTTGAGCAACATCCTTCAGTAGTGCAACTTCAATGAAAATTAGGGGTTCACCTGGAAACATAAAAGAAGACATACATAGATTTAACACACTTGAAAACTTTAAGAATAGACTTCTAGAATTTAGACAGAAGTTATGTGAATTGCTTGAGTAAGAGCACTCAGCACCCTTGATATGCATAAGATTTTGCATTTATAAGAACAATAATGAATAAACAATTTCCTACGACTCTAACTTTCAAATGATACATTAACTCCTATAACTACCAATGACACATTAATCACTATCAGTATTTTCAAACAACATATTTGACAAAAGGTATGTAACTACAGTATTTTAAAACACTGAAATACATAGGGTCAAATCAATCGTGTGAAAAGTGCGAACTATAGAAAGTAATAGCTCCAAATTTAATTTTTCGAGCTACTTGGCTTGAGAATAATGAAATTTCATTGCACACCTAGAAAGCAAATTGTTTTTACTAACTTTCTTAGCTGATACAGACTAATAACATTCAATAGAGATGAAAAAAATGACCACTAGGATGTTGACTAAAGCACCGGTATAAATTATAAAACTGTGAAAAATAGAGAATTATCTTTCAGTAACCAAGTGTTAGAAGAACTGCTGACCAGGAATTGCTGGATGTAAATATCCAAAACAACGACGGCCAATTCCCAGCCTTCTCTTAAGATCTAGAAGGTTGCTAATTGGGTGCACAGCCTACACAAGATATCAAAGATTATGCATAAAGTGGAAGACCAGAGTTACATTGAATGACAGTTCAAGAAAAAAGGAGAAAAGTACTTCATAAGCAACAATTTTCTCCAGCAAAGAAGCAGGATCATCCCATGTAATCTGGTGAAGCTCTAAGGCAGCAGGACTAAGCCACGTAATAAGTTTTTCCTTTAAATTAGAATCCAATGCTCTCAGAGATGCAATATTCTCCTCTCTGTGGAATGGAAGAATTGAATAATCATACTCATAATTTCAGGAAAACAAGGTTGAACCCTTGTTCTTGTCTTTTATTTCTTTCATCCTTTTTTCCCCAGGAATGTTATCAACTCTAGGTATTGAAAATTCATAGTTTTATAAGTTTATTTTATTTTAAGGTCTTCATAGCCAAAGTCGGTGTTTAGACAATTGAAGGAAAATCAGTATTTGAATTCTCTAACATAGAATCCACTAAATTTTAAAGAGGAAACAAGGAACTAAGATTTATTTTATTTGCTCCTGCTGTCATTGTAAGATAAGGAGATTAAAGGAAAGAAACATGGAAAAATTGTTCAAAATAAAATTGTGTAGCATCAACCATAAACTTACGCAAGAATAGATAGGATATCTGCTCGAACAATGGTTAAGATCCTCAACCCTCCAGGATGAGTGTTGAGACGCTCAAAGAGAATTTCATAAACTGGCTGAAGGGCATGCCTCAAATTCCTCTCAATCCGATGAAAAGGAGAAAACAAGGCTTCATCTTCGAAGCCACTCACTTGAGCTTTGTCTGTCAACCCAATCACTTTTCTCAAACCACAGTTTTAGAAGCAATAATACAAAGTGTTACACACACATACACATGTGCGCACACACCTTAAAATCACTCACCAGCAGGAAGTTCAAGTCCAAGGTACTGATTTATCAGTTCACGAACTTGTGATCTATTGAGATCATACTCTCTAGCAAGAACAAGGAGCAAGTTGCGACGGTTTACACGAGAAAGGCTAAAATAACCCTACATTATTACAAGCTTATGGAAATGAAATAATCAACAACAACAACAACAAAACCAGTTAAGAAAGTTCAACTGGATTAAAATCTAAAATTAGACTACCTCCGAGAAACTATTAAGCACGTCATCCAGAACTTCTGTTTTGTTCATAGATATAGCAGAGTGCATTGAGGCACGCACACGCTTAAACTCTCTATGAATGAATCAAAACAACGAATAAATAAATAAAATGAGCATGGAAATTCCAATTAGAAGTATGCGAAACCAAAAATAAATAAATATTAAAAAAAATTAGGAACCTCTCGGAGTTGGCGGAGTCATTAGGCGGTGAATTTCCTTCACCTGGAGATTCATTTTGGCGGGAATTCTGCTGCTGCAATTGACTCGTCGCGTTCTGTCGTGCATTAATCACAATCGAAGGAATAAGTCAACGAGAATCAAATTCAAAGCGAATTCACGCACAGAATACAAATTACATAACCGATTAGCTTGAAGAAAAAAAAAAGGAATAAAAAACAAAGTGTACGAGTAAAATGCAACGAAAAAGAAGGCGATGTTCAAAGGCATGAAGAGAAATGGAAGTGCGAGAGAGATAACTGACAGTTAGAGAGAGAGGAGAGAGAGAAAGGTTGGGCTTCATTCTGGCGCGCATCAAAATGGACAAAGCTTTCTTGTTCATTTTTTTAGTTTTGGTATTTATTGGCGAAATGAATGTGCGTTCGAAAATCGAAATCAAAGACCGGCAGGCATAGTCAATCAACTTTGCTTTCTGCTTTTGGAAATGGATGGTGCGTTACATCCATGTTCGGCATCAACCTCTCTACTATTCTCGTTTCCACAATTTTATTGGAGCGTTGCTTGCAAGCCACAAATATTTTGTTTCATTATTTGGGTCAACGTCTGACGTGGACTGCGTGTTGTTCTTCTCTTTAGATTTCCAGCTTCAGGCCCAATTCAATTCCTGGGCTCCAGTGGTCCAATTATAATGTTAAGATACATTTTATAGTAACAATAAATATCTCATACATTGTATAATTAATTATAAATATATATTAAATATAAAATTTAAATCTAAATATTATTTTATGAATAAAAATATAAATATGGATGCTAAAATTTTCAATTATTTTTTAAAGTTAATGAAATGCCTCATTTATA